AATTTCGTCCTCCTAGGGTTTCTAGAGATTTGGGTGTGAGTGGTTGAGGAATAGAAGCAAAAGAAATGGGTGGAGAAGAGAAAACTTGAGAAATTCGGTTTTGATCTTTATGAGGTGGGAATCTCTCTTGACCTTGGTGTTTTTCTCTCCCTTTTCTCTTCTCTTAGGGCTCTAAGGTATTTAGAGTGGAAGGGAAATGAAGAATGGGAGAAATAGGGCTTGGAATGGGTGTTTTAAAACCCAAAAATCCCGACTTTTACTGTTCATCGTCTGTTTTGGGGGTTTTCCAGACTTACTGTTTTCCTTATTTTTGATCATGATAAACTTTGAATCTGAAAAAGTGCAAAACATGAAAGTTGTAGATCTAGATGTCTTCTGCATTGTGTCAAAATTTCAGCTCAATCGGACCATTGTAGCAAGAGTTATGACGATTCTACGACAACTGGTCCGGAGTAGGCAATGTACCCGGAGCAGCGCCCCAGCGCCCATTTGGGCGCCCCTTTTCACTTCCAATCTTTCCAACTTTAATCCTAACTTATCCTACATACTTTTCTACATCGACCTAATTAGTTCAAGTTCTTTTATGATTTATTTTGTACATTTTCATACCGAAACTAATCTTTTAACTACTCTTTCCTTGAGTTATACTATTTTATCATTTCAAATGAAATAATTACTGAACACCTATGTCTTTTATTTTTTATTTTATTTTATTTTATTTTATTTTTTTTTAAACGCATGTGGGGTATTACAAAACTAAAACATAAAAGAGGAGAAAATGAAAATTTAGAGTTTGATAATATTATCCAAATTATATTAAAAAAAATCTTATACTAAATAAAATTCTAGTGCATTTATGCAATTTCATTTGAAAATTCAAAAACTTGTCATCAACTAATGAAAATAGATAGACATAAATAAAAGTAAATTTAATTATTTTAACAATTAATTTTCGACTTTTTAAAAGGATATGAAAGGCTTGGAAATGTGTAATATTAATAAAGTTTTATTAATATGAATCCCATATTAATAATATTAGTATTGTGAGAGTAAAATTGTCTAATTAAAAGTTTAACAGCAATCAAGTCTAATTAATATGAGTTTTAAATTAAATAGGGCTAGTATTGTCTTTATATATTGTTTTAGGGTTAAAGTAATCAATCAAAAGTTTTCTTGATAGTTTACTTTTATTAGTAGTATAAATGATAGATGATTGCTAAAAAGAGAATTGAAGAAAAAGTGTATTAGAAGGGATTTCATCACTCAAAAGTGTTGTTGATGTTTTTTATTTCGATTTAATTCGCATTCTCCGGTTCAACTAAAACTCCCAAATTTTTTTTTATGAACTTTAGCCGCTGAACTTAATAAAGTAATTGGTGCAAGCATAAACACTCCTATACCAAAAAAATAATTTGAGAAATGAGTTTTTTGGAGGCTGGTTCCTAGGCTAAATAAGATTCCAAAAAAAAAAAAAATTCACTCTCCAATTTTCTTTTTAGATTAGGTGCCTATTGAAAAGTTAAAGCAATATACATAACTTTTTTTTTTTTGAAGGGGGGAGGGAGCTTGAACTCTTGACCTCAACAAGACAAAATCTTCACAAGGCAAGGAGTACAATTAGACCAAAGGTCCATTGGTTAATAGACATAACTAACACCCCTTAAAAATTGCAAAAATAACGATAATACTGTTACCTAATTAAAACACATATTCTAAAAAGTTATATAATCATAATGTACATTTTTCTCCATAAATACAGATCGCCGACAAGTATACTAAAAAAAATATACATCGTCAGGCAGGTACATTAAAAAAATATAATGTATCTTCTCCATAAACACATATCTTCAGATAGGTATATTTAAATAAAAATCGTCTTACAGATACACTAAAACACAGATTGTCAGACAGACATACTAAAACACAGATCATCAGATAGATATGCTAAAATATAAATCATCAGACACGTACACTAAAATATAGATCGTCAGACAAGTATACTAAAATACAGATCGTCAAATCCACCTTAACATGATCTAGTTTCAATATCAGTTAGCCAAAAAAAAAAATCCTAAAAACTAACCACCTATTATCAAACCTTCAAATTCAAGGGCTCAAAAAACCATAACAATTAGTCAAAACCCCTAAAAATTACTCCACTATATTCTAACCCTAAAGTAAGTATAGTATAAGCGAAATCAATCCGTCTCTACTCCTTCAAATGCCTATTCGTACTCATTTCGTAATTTTGCCTCTTTCTTGACAGTGAAATCATTCACAACATTAAATGTCCTACAAACATGGTCGAAGACGACTGCACTACCCAACATGGACAGCAAAACTTAGATTCAAATCATAGAGTATCTCAAGAAGCATGCAGATTCAACGATTTCGAAGGAAAATATGAAGAAATTTGATTCCTATTTTGTCGAGAAGGAACATAGATCGCCAACATAGGACCGCATTTAAGTTTTTTCAAAACACAAAGAACTTTTTTTATACTAAAATTTGATAAGATTAAAATTAATTTACATATAAAAGGAGGGATTCTAACCTAATTAATTATTAAAAAATAGAGGGCTAGGTGAGTAGGTCCACCTCGGAGCCCGTTTTAGGAAATCTATTCCAATAGCCAACCCTTGAATATATATATATATATTGTAAAACAGTAACATTATGCTTACAAAATCATGTAAACTGATATTTTGTCATTTCTGTTTTCAAAAACTCTTTCTAATTTTTATGATTAATAATGAATTTTTGTAATTGTACTTTGTTGCAACTTTTTCACCACGACAATTCATTTAAACTTTAATTTTTTATTTTTTTAACCACGATAACTTATTTAACTGAGTAGCTTAAGCATCTCAAATAGACAACTTTGTTTTATTATTATAGATGTGTTGTGTGCTTACCTATTTTGTTTTGTTGTTTATTTATACTCTCGTGCATAACACATTGGCGAAACTAGGAACGTTGTAATAAAAAAAAATTGAGTACAAGGATGAAAAACACAAAATAAGATTTGAGACAAAATTATTGAAATAGAAAATTAATTTTTATATCGCCTAAAAAAATCTGATCAAAAGATAAAAAATAATTTTTTCTCATTATATTTTTACTCAATCATATATGAGATTGAAATAAGACGTTCTGTAAAATTCTTAAAATATTTATAATTGATTAGTAAGCTAGATTTCACTAGTTTTCTACCAATTCCCTTAAATATTTTATAATTGATTAGTAAGGTGGATTGCTCACTGATTTTCTACAAATTTCCTACCAATGCTCACAATCACAGACTCCATAGTGATATCATTTATTATATAGTTTTAAAACTTGGTTGAGATTATTCTTGATTTTATTGAGATTGCATATGTGAAATATCATAAATGCTTTTGGTTTACAATCTGCTTTCTTTGCATCTAATAATGTTTTATTGGGTTACAGACTACAAACTAACCGAAAAATGATAAATGACAACTATACAATTGATTTTAAAAAGTAGAAAACATTGTATTAGATAAAAAAGAATTATTGTCTTTTTTCAGTTTATATAAATAGATAATGACATTTACATCTGATTCACTCAATTAAAAAAATAAAACATTCATTTTAGGGGGTAATGGACTACTAATTTACTGGAGGAAAAATACATGAAAATTTTCAAAAATTTAGGGAGGACAAATGTAACATAAAATAATATTTTTGGGTTCTCAACAAAGATGATTCAAAAGGGGGGGGGGGGGGGGGGGATGCCCCCTAGTCCGAAGATGGATCCACCCTAGCCAACACAATTTATTAACTTTATTTTTTAACACTTAACCCTCTTTCCAGTAGTGCCTACTTATTTACTGTTGATATTACACTTGCTCTGTCGCGACAGCGGTCCTTGTAGACCTCAGGAGAGTAAAAGGATGGATAGAATTTGGAGGAGTTCCAATGGAGGCTATTTACTAATTGTTGGAATGCCATGGAACATCCAAAAAATTTATAGCTACTATGATCAATCTTTCTCCAAGTAATAATTCCTGTAGAATTGTGACATTGCTTTTAAAGGAAAAGTTGACAATTTCATTTAGAACTATTTAAATGACTTTTAATGTCTCTTCAGATAAGCCACCTCATGTTAAATAATGGAAAAAAATGGTCTCAGAATTTGTTGACAAGCCAAAGGGTATGAAGTTTCTTCATTAAAAGCAAACTTGGACCCAAAGTGCAGAATTTCCAGAAACACCGTTAAATTGAAAAGGTAATCAGGCGAAAAAAAATGTTGGTGAATATTATTATTTTTTTTCACTTGTTGCAATATGTTTGGACTTCAAATGGTAAAAATTTGTTTTTAAAGTAGATGATTGTTTAACATAGTATCTGAGTAGGATGTCTAATATCGAATCGCGCTACCACTCTGATGATTAAAATATTTTCACGTGCTAAACCCAAGATTCAGCTTGCACTGTGATGAGGTATGTTAAAATATACTTCCTCCGTTCCTAAATATCTTTCGTTTTACCTAATTTTTTTTTGTTCCACAATATCTGTCGTTTTATGAAACCAAAACATAATTAATATTTTTTCTTCCAAATTTACCCTTATCTCTGTTTTCTAGTAAGTGCTTAATAAATTAAGTGTAGACTAAGTGTCTTTCATATTCTTTTCCTTCTTAATACGTATTGAATAAGGGTATTTTAGTCTTGTGTAATTATTTTTTACTCATACTAGAGTTATTTAATAACTTTCTTCATTCTTGTGCAAAAACTTTAAACGACAGATATTTAAGAACAGATGAAGTAAGTTTTTAGAATAGGTGATTGTTTAACCTTAAAGTTTTCAAACAGTTGGAAATACCATATTTCTTATTCCGTGTACATAGGAATATGTTATACCAAGTTTGCATTGACATATTTACATGTGGCTCTAACATGGAGAAACAAATAAGAAATGTATTCAGCTTTGCAACAACTACATACATAAAAACTGTAATCTCTGTTCTGTATAACTCAGTGCCAACGTGTTCTTCTAGTCCTAATAGAAACTGGCTTTCTGCCTCTGTTTGAATATTGCCCATCCTTGGGAGAATGATAGTTGAGCCCATCTCTATTCTCATCTGAGTTATTTTCATCTTTTGCTACATTGGGAAGTCGGCTTTTCAGGAATTCTTCCCTCAGGAAGCTAAATTTCTTATGGGCATTCCAGTCATGTGCAGTGACGGGAGCCTCGTGCACTAGGCTGCCTTTTTTATTCCCGTCATTGAGCTCCAGCCATGGAAGTTTGCCCTGTCTTTTCCCCTTGTCATCCGTGTTTCCATAAAAATCACCTCCAGTCTTTAAAGGGTTGTATATTCCTATCTCTTCTGAATCTGTACTTGAAGCAGCTAGGACATTTTTCGTTTGTACTTTTACATGTTTTGATCCAGTTTCTTTACTATAGCTACTAAATTTATGACCTACCATTCCATCTTCGATTGGCTTAGAGTTTGTTTTGAAAGACTCAATCTTGTCTGAATGTAATCCTTTTGTCCAGTCCTTGAAATCCGAGGCTGTGGCTTTACCAGTTTGAAGTTCAGATTCTGAAGAACCAACAGGATAGGAAAAAAAAAAAAAAGGATAGGATAACTTCAACTGTTGAAAACTAGAATTAATATTGATGATACCTCAAACAAGTCCTAGCTGTAAGCTCAGGTCAGGAGGTTAGGTCAGGTCAGACACCAGGAACTCAGAGAACCTGGGATGGAGCTCCTCTTGGAGAGATCGTAGCTGAACCGACCAGGAAACAACTGGATGACTGCGGAAATTGGGCCCCATGCATGAAACTCTCAACCAATCAAGATTCTCTCCTAAAATCAAAGAGGATCCCATGAATAATGGGCAAAGATCTCGACTGAAATCCCATGGAATAGGGGACAACCTTATAAATACTATGTAACACATCGAGAAAAAGAACAAAAAAAAGAACCCTAATTGGATTACCCACTGTCTTGTATTACATTCAAATAATCAATAGAGAAGAAAAGGAGTGAGAGCCTTCATTTGAGAGTGGATTAGCCAAGCTCTAGAGCCGGTGAACCACTATATTCCTACTGTGCAAATTCTCGTATTCTCTAAGAAACACTTCATCACTGCCATTACGAAGCTGGCAGCCTAACTTCACTGTTGGTCCCACGTATTCTATTCACTCACATAAGTCTGCACCATTAGTTTGACCACAGCCAGGACAGCCACTCGGGCAACTCTGTTTGTGTTGGCTTTCGGAACTGAAGTAGTGGCTCCCGTGGAGATAGGGCTCGCAAAGCTAATTTCACGCCAAGAAAGAATTTCTTCTTTATCCCGACTAAATCTAACGGTGACAATGACGAAGGCACTAAGTAACGGGACTTCCACTCCCACTCAATTCTGCATGAGCTCCGTTCCCTGAATAGGGGGGAGATTGGGGCAGCCATTGGAGTTGTAGGAAGGCAAAGGGGAGACGTGAGAAGAAGATCACAAAGGTGAAAAGATTTCGAAGGGGATGAATATCCACGGAATCAAGAAGTCAAGATATAAAAGAATCAAGAAGCAAGCCGAACCCAAAGGCTGCGGACCTTTGAGTTTCCAAATTAAGGCAACAGATATTTTTAAAGAAGGCAATAAAATATGGACAATAAAGGAGGAGTTAATGACAAATGTTACCAGTTATGAGCCATTAAATAACCAAGGAAGGCTTGATACAACCTTGGATAAGCCTAGGAGGTCGGATTCTTTCCTCGGTTATGACGGGGTTCAATAATTTAAATAGTTGGATCACATCCCAAAAGAGACTTCTCAGACTTCTTTGGATTGACTAAAAGGGAAACTTTATTTCTAAGGCACAACAAGGCTTCATGAGCATAAGCAGCTGCTAGGACCATATACCCAGTAAAGCTAGCAGATGCACTAGAAGCAACCACACCCTAGTCTTTACACCCAGCAACAAGGACAGACCTTCCAAGAATGAAACCAGATTTCTAGGGGGTCAGTAAGCTCTACTGACCCTAATGGAGTTCTAGGAGGTCTGCACCAAGGGTTTTTAAGCTTCGGGGAATTAGGAGCTCAGTCAGGGGTATGCATGGTAGCTCTGAACCCCGTTGCCTCAAGAGGGAGGAAAGACGGAGAAAGAGGAACATAAGCAGTTATGTAATTTAGCAAAAATAAGACAATAAACAAGCTTTATGGAAACAGGGGCTTCTTGGTAGAGGTTCGTACAACATGGCCTCCAAAGATGTAATTGTAATGGACCTTAGCATCAGGTTGCTTACTCTCTTTCCCAAATCTAGTAAACCTCTTGTCATTGTAAGGAATGTCAAGTCCACTATCCAATGCTCCCTTTGGGGTGGGCTCTACTTTAAGATTTTCAAAAATAGAAAAGATCAAGAATCAGATGTACAAAAATAGAAGGTTAACATCCATAAGACTCTAGACCAAGTAGCCTCAACATTCCCTTGATACTCCTCATCCATCTCAAGCAATAACAGTCCTCGATTGTCCAGCAGAAGTTCAAGGCAATAAGCTGCAATATAACATGAGAGATTAACTACGGGTCTATGGTAGAGCTCGGCGATCCTGAAAGACTCTTTGAGGTCCCAAACATTCAGATATTTATGAGTTAAGTGTAGCTTGTATGGCTGCACGGACCTTCCGAGGCAACTCCTAACTATTCAAACAAGTAGCATACTCTCTTCGACCAAATACAAGCATGATAATCTCCCAAAGTCAAATCTCAATTCCTTTTCTCTCAAAAGAGCTCAGGAAGCCAGCAGACTTGCAGTTCCAACAGCTTTGCTTTGAGAGGAACTCAGTTTCCCTCAAAGAAATGGGGGGCAATGAGAGTACAGAGCAGTACGCAAGCAGCTAACCACAAAATAATGAGAGTAGATTTTAGAAAATCAGAGTAGATTGCATTGAAGAGCAAGTTGAATTGTGTTATCGTATTGAGCGGAGTATACTGTATTAAAAGAGCGAGTAAGATTGTGTTAGAAAGAAATTAGAGAAAGAGGAAAAAATCAGTGCGTTTACCATTTAGACGACTCAGGAAAGCATGCCAAGTTTACATTCTCCAATAGAAGTTACAAATGCTTAAAAAAAAAAAAGAATAAGAAGGAATTAAAAGATCCTAAGTTTCTGAAGAGTGAACATGTGGAGGATCCTGCAATGAAGTTACTATAGCCTCAGCAGCAGGAACAATGGTAGAGCTCGGTAGCTCACCAGACAACCCTTCTGGCAAGGCAGCAGTTGAAATCTCAGAAGAGCCAAGAATAGGTGAGGAGGATGAGGCCTCAATCTTAGGCAGAGCTCTCATTACCAGATCAGCAAAAAAGGACGTATTAGTAGGAACAGCTAGAGGAGTGGACATTTTAGTACCTTCCAGAGCCCTATCAGAGGCAGCAGGAGCCAAGGTGCTGTCATCGCCCTCTGAATCAAACTCCTGCAACTCCTCCTCAGTAAGGATGACAAAGTCAAAGTTGAGGTCTGGGTAGGCCTTCTCCGCTTTACGTTGAAAGGCCAGCCATCCTGAGGCCCACTTGGTGGTGACATCATCCTTCAGCTCGACTATTATGTCATTCCTCTCCTTGACAGCTGTCTTCTACACCTCGAGCTCAACTCATGGACTCTCGTTCGTCTCAGCCAGTATAACATACTTCTTCCTAAGGCTCTCGAGGGATCCCTAAGCATCAAAGACTTCCTAGCTAGCTTTGTTCCAGGCATTGATTTTGAGTAACAGCTTTTCCCTGGTCATCCTCAGCTCATCCCTGACCTTCTTCTCTCTTCCCTTAGCCCTATCCTTAGCAGCTTGAAGGCCTTCGTAGTCAGAGGCCTATTTTTCCATTTGCTCCTCGAGCTTTTGCACCTAAGCTCTGAGGCTCTCATTGTCAAAGATCAGCTCAGCTACCTTAAACTCGTATGTCTTCAAAGCTTTGGCAAAGTCCTCCAAAGATCGGACCCTGTCCATCAAGTTCTTCACATGAAGAGCCATCTGTGGACAAAAAACAGACATAGATCAGCACAATTTAACCGCGCTGTACTAAGAGCGAGTCTGAAAATACTTACAATGGCTGTTCCGTAGAGAGCTGAACAGAAAGAGGCCTCAAGAGACATGGTAGAGGCCCTCTGAATATCGCATTCAGGGAGAGTGAATGAAATGGCCCCAACAGCCAACTCAGCATTGTCGAAGAAGGAGTCTTCATCAGTCTCCTGGCCCTCCCTTCTTTCGACTTTGGGACTCCGAAGAGACAATTGAGATGGTTGTTCAGGCGGTCCAGGGGGTGTAAAGTCTGGTTTGATTCTAATAATCAGCCCCAATGCTCCCTAAACCTCAGAAGAGGTGGGGGAAGCCAGCCTTGGCTCGGAAGTCTTTCGGGGGGCAAACTGGGCCCCTTGAAGAGGAGAAGGGGTCAGAGATTAAGATGAGGGAGTCTGTCCTCCCCTGCTCAATGCAGGAGAAGAGGGCACTCCCAGCTTCTGCACTTTAGCTCTGTCAACGAGGCTGCCTCCAAAGCTGGTATCGGCATTCCGTTTGCCATTTTTTCTACTCTTTTTTAGTAGGTCAACTTTAGCCTGGAGTTCCTCAGGGGTAGATTTCATTATGGAGGAGCCTAGAAGATCTGAACCGAACAAGTTAAATAGGAGAGAGAAAAAAGAAGGGAAGGCAAGGGAACCAACTCAGAAAGTGTTATCTTATATGTCTTCAGGCCTAACAACTGAGATAAGGAACGGAGCTTCTACCGATACCTTAGGAGGACTGAATCCCTGTGTTACTAAGACCCAGGGCTTGATGAGCTCGGAGTACTTCTCTAGATTACACTTTTTCAACTTTCTCTTTACATTCTCGTCCTTAGCACTGAGCTCTGGTCGAATGCTTGAAAAACAACACAAGGAGAGCAAAGGTCAAAAAGGCGAATCAACGATTCCCAAATCAAAGCTCAATCAGTTCGAGTAAGGGTTCACCTAAGTTATCAAGGGCAGACCAAAGTCTAGAGATACCAAGAGTATTAGTCCTGTCAGTAGGTTGTATTCCCAGTTAGTGCCCCCAATGAAAAAGAATTGTTTCTTCCAACCTTTATGGGAGTTCGGGAGGTAAGTAATGATCTGCTTAGCCGTGGTTCACTTGAAGATATATAAGAAACCTTCTGATGAGGTGAGCTTGACATTAAAAAGATTCACAAGCAAGGAAAGGCCGGGGACCCCGAGTCCATGAATCTTGAATAAAACAAGAAGACCCACAAGTACACCCTAGAAATTAGGGGAGAGTTGAGTAGGGTAAACATTGAAGTGTTGCAAAACACTCTTGATGAAGGGATGCATAAGAAAGCGAAGACCATTCTCAAAAGTGGCCACAAAGAAACATACTCTCTTATGAACTTGGGCAACATATGGGGTGTATTTATCTGAACACTAGGCTGGACACCAGGAGAAAATCCGTAACAAGCACTGAGAATTCTCACATGAGAAGAGTCAACCTCACTAGGTTCTACGAGCTCAGCATGTCTAAAGACGACCCCTGTGCCCGTTGCGCTGTCACAAACTCCTATCCTACTCACCTTGCCCTTACCTTTGTTAGCATTAGGGGGCACAGAAAAAGACGATGGAGATGGTTCCTCAGTATTTCCCTTGGCATCAACAGCATCCACACCGGAGAAATTGTCGATTTTCTCGCCTACATCCCCTAAATCAGTGTTCTCTTCGGCAGACCTTTCCCCTAAGAGAGAAGTAGAGGAGCGTGTAACTCTAGAAGGAGTAGATATGATTGGATAGGAGAAAGGTAAACTGAAAGAACGGTAGAAATGAGGAATACTAATTAAGTACTCCCTAATAACTCTAGGGTCAGCGCAGTAGCTTCCAACAGCAAGAATTCGCATGATAGAAGACCAGTCCATGAAGTGGGGGAGAGGAGACAAGCAGTAATTTTGATTCCAAAATTAAAAGAACCGAAAGGCCCAGAAATGCAATGGCCACCTCGAATTTAAGGGATCTAGAACGAGAAAAGCTTAAAAAGGGACAAAAGGACGTAACTAGGTGGGAAAGAGCAACGAACAACAGCCTAGAGCGAAATAGAAGAAAAAGGGCAATGTGAATCTTCAATTCGAACCCACAAAACTCGATCTTAAACGAGGAATCAGAGAATTCCAAACCAGAAAGCCAAGAAATAGCAAGAAGAGAGAAGCAGCAGATAAGTTGAACAGTGGAATAGGGCAGTTCAAATAGCCGTTTGAGCATTTAAAGCCTGAGAGACGTGGACTGAAATGTGCACGAAAAACGAGAAAGTCATGATTACTAAAAATCGTCAAAAAGGCCTACCTCACGTGCAAGACAAGGTCAGCCACGTGCAGATCCTGCTCGGTTTAAAAAACGGCTCAACCCCTGTCCAAGCTAGCTTGAACTAGGGGCTGGGGGGCAACTGATGATACCTCAAACAAGCCCTAACTGTGAGCTCAGGTCAGGAGGTCAGGAAAAAAACGAGGAACTCAGAGAATCAGGGATGGAGCTCCCCTTGGAGAGATCGTAGCTGAATCGACCAGGAAAAAGCTGGATGACTGCGAAAATTGGGCCCCATGCATTAAACTCTCAACCAACTAAGATTCTCTCCTAAAATCAAGGAGGATCCCATGAATAATAGGCAAAGATCTCGGCTAAAATCCCACGAAATAGGGGACAACCTTACAAATACTATGTAATGCCTCATCGAGAAAAAGAACAAAAAAAAGAACCATAATTGGATTACGCACTGTCTTGTATTACATTCAAATAATTAATAGAGAAGAAAAAGAGCGAAAACCTCCATTTGAGAGTGGATTAGCCGAGCTCTAGAGCCGGTGAACCACTATATTCTTACTGTGCAAATTCTCCTATCCCTTAAGAAACACTTCATCACTGTCATTACGAAGTTGGCAGCCTAACTTCATCGTTGGTCCCACGCACTGTTCACTCACATTAGTCTGACATGATCAACAGATCTTTTTCGTGTAGTTTGGATTGAGACAGTTCCACAACAGCTCTTGCTGCTGCTACTGCCTGAGCTGCTAGTTCAAAAGCTGCTTCAGCTGCTGTCTTCACATCTCTATATTTACTCCTTTCTTTCATAAATCTAGAGAAGTTCTCATCTTCTTGTATTCCTTCACGCAAATTTTTAGTTGCATCCTTCAGCTTATGATCATTCAGGCCGTTCGATTCTCTGGTATGCAGTTTTTCCTGGATGTGAACACCACAAACTGCATCATTTCTCAAAAAATTAGGTGTAAAAAATTACAGAGTTTATTTTTGTTCGAAAATAAAAAGCTTCAGACTTTATCTTGGTGCATTAACTGCATTTAAGTCACGAAATGTTGTCCACTGTGTTTTATCTCAATAGAATTGCTCTTTTGTTTGTACCTTACCTTACTAATCCCAGACGATTCTCCCTCAACTCTAAGAATGATCCCATTCTCAGAAGCAATTTCGTTTAAAACTTTCAGTTTGGTTCCCCAGATTGGCCATTGAGTTGGAAACTTTTTGGCAATCTAGACAACCAAAGGAAGAGTTACAGAAAAATTGTAAACTACAGAACAAGTAACCCTGAAACAATCAAATCTACCTTAGGATTTACCCCACAGTTGTTGCGTAATTCAATAGCATAATTTGAAAAGTTCTTCCCATATTTTGCCATGAAGATCCTATAAATCTTTTGGAGTTCTGGCAATTGTCCATATCTTGAAGCAGCGAAGATCAAACTTGATATTGCCCCCTTCAGTTCATCGGGACACGCTCTACCATAAAAACAGGCACATATAACACAAATATATAATTAAAAGAAAGATATATAAACACAAAAAAGTAGTGAAATAATATATGATGTATGTTGAAATTTGAACAGGAAATGCATCTTTTCATTTTCATTAATCAGTTATTTAGTTGTTTTTTTTTTAAATTTGTTTGGTCATTTTCAGATAATTCGAAGGGAAAGTGGGAAAACAAACTTGCTGTTCTTAATGAGCATGATCCTATCTATCAGAAGGCGGCAATAGCCTTCTATGATGCTGAAGGCATCCAATATATTCTGCTCCCTGATCACATGATCAACCTGTGAGGAAAACCATCAAAATAGTGAGAGAGAGAGAGAGAGAGTGAAAATACGCAAAGGAGAGCGCTTTCTTGGTGATGATGGGTGAGGAGCTAAACTACATCCGAACGAGCTTGAGACCAACGGATGTGGTGATGTTTTTTGAGTATGGCAATTCGAGAGACAGCAAGAGAGACAATGGTTTTGAATTTGGATGTCTTGAAGGATTTTGATTTTCCAAAAAGGAGCATTCAATTTCTTGCCCATGTTGCTGTCTTTTTCCTTCTTCTTGTTGCAGCTTCAACCTCAACAAAAAATTATCAAGGACCTCTCGAATCTTATTAGCACTATAAACCAATATTCTGAGCTCATGATCTTAATAAGAACTCGGGTATTCAAAGATGTAAGTTATATCGTAACATCACAAATCGGTCCAGCATATCAAAATAAAGCGCGTAGTAGTGGTCATTTGTGATGAAATGAAGGAGACAAGCAACAACTTACATTAATAGACATGAAGATTAGGGCTGAGGGAAACCCTGATTAACTTTGACATTCCTTAGTGACATTTGTGATTAGTGAGGTTACTACGTTAGGCTAATCTTGGCCAAGAGGGTCAGAGGTACCAATGACCACATTGTTGTGTCATGTCCGTCTTTCCTTCCCCAACTTACCTTTAAAAAAAAAAAATACCCAAAAATTCGAAGATGAGATGGTGTATGACATGATTTTATGGTGACATTTTCATTTCCCATCTAGCTTTATCAAATAAAGGAGTACTCGAACATTCAAATATGAGATAGTTGTATGCCAGGATTTGATGAATAGAAACGTTAATGTTCCAGCCATGTTTCAATCAATAAATGAAGCCACCTATTGCCAAATATGACTTTCCTTAAGTTTATATCTTAAAGGTCCAAAACCTACTACCAAACAGACTTCATCCAAAGAGTAATTAGAAAGTTCATTTGTTTAACAAATATGACTTTTTTTCGTTGTAATAGTGGTCATACAAAACACATAAAAACGTCAGTCCAAGTGACGTTTTCATATAAAACGTCAGTGCAAATGACGTTTTACTGAAAACGTTGGTTCAAATGACGTTTCTAAAAAACGTCATTTGCACTAACGTTTTACATGGCACCGTTTTGTCCCTTTTTTTTTTTTTTAATATAATTCATCACATTGTAATTTCTTTGAATGTTTAATTTTATTTATTGAATAATTTAATTATATTCAAAATAAATATAGTTTGATCATATCAAAATTAAAACATTGAAATGTATACACTTAATTAATTTTTAATTAACATTCAAACATAATTTTTTTTTTAATTTTGATCATGTCGACAATAATGTTTATTAAGCGATGTAAAAATTTAATTTATTCATAACCAAAAAATTGAGCATTTATTTCATAACACTTTTAGTACAATTGAAGGGGTAAAATGTTGTCAATAATGTGGTTGATGTTCAAAACAACATAAAGAATTATCGAGTACACATAAATTTGATAGGATAAGTGTCTGATGCATCATCATCCAAATCAGAGAAATTAGAAAATTCAGGATCGAAAACAAGTAATGGATCCTCTAAAATTTCAATTTCGGCATATTCAGGTTCAAATTGCTCTATTTTTGCATACTCTATTGCATGCAAACGACTAAGTCGACGCTGCATTTGATCATTTTCACGTTCAAGTCTTGATATGATATTGTCATGATTATTTGAATTCTGTGGATCATAAATATTAGCCGAACGTGCCTTCGGTACCACAAGTTCATACCAACGACAAAATACTTCAAGGTCATAATGTTTGTTATATAGCTATCACCGTCTTAGTGTAGGTTTGATATGAGCACCTAGAGGCGGATAGTCAGTTGCAGACTCAACAATTACATGTCCAACTTGATCGAATGAGTGATAAGGATCGATGGGTACATTGCGAAACTCTCACTTTTGTCCATAGCACGTTACACCGTTGGAATCTGTATTTAATCCAATAAAATGAACTTTGTGCAGCGATGTTGATCAATCATTTTTGACTAAGTACCAACTAATAAATTTTTTAAGCAACAAACAAAACATTAGAATTAGATGAGTTGAGAATACAAATATTTTTTGATTAATTATCTGAATATAAAATTATTATATCATTTTTTACGAATAAAAAAACAAACATATTAGTATTCGATACAATTATAACCCCAAAACTCAAGCAAGGGTTATTGCTAGATAATTATGTTCACGTAAATACTTAATCTAAGTGATTATTAGATTAAATTAAATTTGAATTTAGAATTATCATAAAATTAAAACTAATACAACAATTTGAATTAAATTTAAATTTAGAATATCATCAAACTTGAAATAACATTACAATTAGAACTAATACAACAATTAATAAATTAAATTTAAATTTAGAATTAACATAGAATTAGAACTAATACAACAATTAGAATTAACTTTAAATTTAGAATATCATCAAAATTGAAATAACATTAGAATTAGAACTAATACAACAATTAATTTACAACTAAAACAACAATTAAATACACAAATTGCCTGTTAATTATTAGATTAAATAAAAAATTTAAATAGAATTAACATAGAATTAGAACTAATTCAACAATTGCAATTAAATTTAAATTTAAAATGTCATCAAACTTGAAATAACATTACAATTATAACTAATACAACAATTAATTTACAACTAAAACAACAATTAAGTACACAAAATGGCTAAGTGAGATACATAAATAGATAGAGAGTGATAGAGATACACTCGGACATACCCCTCAATGTTGTTGTGATGGAGGCAGTAGTGGAAGAGCAGCAGCTTCGATGGTGGGGGTCTTGCCGATTGGGGCTTTCAAATTAAATGGCGGTGGATGTGGGTTTCAGATGGTGGTGGTTTTCATAGGTGATGGAGGTGATTTCGGATGGTAATGTGGGTGGACATTTCAGATGGTAATTCTAGTGGAGATTTGGCTGAATGGCGTATGTGGAGATAGGTTTCAGATTAAGGGTGGTGGAGGTGGGGTTTCAGCTGGTGGTGGTTTTCCCAGGTGGTGGAGGTGATTTCTAATGGTACTGGTGGTGGACTTGGGTTTCAGAATGAAGATCCTGGTGGAGGTTAGTATCAGATTCAAGGGTGGTGGAGAAAGGTTTCAGATGCTGGTGGTTTTCCTCGGTGGTGGTCTGATTTATAGGAATTAAACAAATCCTTGCTACATGTGGATGGCTGCATTATGTTAAGTTTGTTGCTTTTGCATATGATTGTTTGGTCCGCGAGTTTATAGTAATGCACACAGATAACTGGGGAAAGACAACTTCGTGTGTTTGTTTGAGGTAGAGTTTTTCAAGTTACACCCGCTACTATAGCCGAATTTTTTTAGTCTATGCAAAGACATCTCAACCCGCAATACTCCTACACCGAAGTGCCTAATTTGACTGATGTAGGGATAGAATTGACGGGTAATCCAAAATTTGTATGGGAGAGGCCACATAAATACATATAACAAGGGAATTTGATAGAGAAGTACCGAATTTTGAATTAATTATAGTAAACAGTTTGTTACCCCGAGTTCATAAAAATCAAATATACACTGAGCAAGCCTACTTCTTGTATGCCGTTGGGATGGGACACACAATTGATCTTCTGAACCTTATTCTAGATCAAATGTTGATTATTGTACAAGGAAAGAAGTCATCACTCCCATATGCTATGTTAGTATCTCATATTTGCAGGGCTAAAGGAGTGATAACAAATCCCTCATAGAAAACGGTGGAAAATTTTGCAACATCAGACAAAATTTTTTTAAAGAAAAGCCATGAAATCTAGCTACAGGAACAACCCAAAGCACCGCCAGCCCCACAAGAAGTGCCATTCCAAGTACCTGAAGAATTTTTTCTACAACAACATCCTCCACCACAAGAAGTGCCATTCCAAGTACCTGAAGAATTTTTTCTACAACAACATCCTCCACCACAAGAAGACCAACCATACATACCAGTGGATGACCAGACTGATAGACAAATTTTACTAGGATTGGAGACCACTGTTACACAGCTTGGGACCAACATCACCCAAATCAATCAACGCATGACTGCTTATGAACAGAATCAAACTGAAATATTAAGGCTACTAAGAGAGCGTTTTGGTGGAGGCCCTTCAACTTCTTGATCAGAGACACTGGAGATTCTATGAAGCTTTGCTATATTGCACTCATCTTTTATTTTATACACATAAACTTACTTTATGTTTTGAAACTGTTGTTGATTTTGAACTTGTTTGTGTTAGTAAGTTAGTTTTTGTCAGTTAATGTGGAACATATGTTTTTAAGTTAGGAAGACTATTTCATATGACTCACAGTTAAATTAAATTATTATTCTACTACTTTGCAAGAATACTCTCAATCTGATCACGCAGGATTTTCACATTTTAGTTGTGTATTATCTTAATATTTTTAGTTAAATTTATTCTTTTGAGCACAATTACATTTCTTTATTGTTAAAAAACTTTTGAAATATTATCCACTCTTTGCATATATAGTGAAGATGCAAGATCTATTGCAAATTTTGAGCTAATCTTTCTTGGAGAGATATTCTACATCTACTCAAATAAGAATCTTCAATTCAGCGGTAAATTTTCTTTGAATAATCTTATTATTTTATTTTGATTAGCACTCATTCAATTATATTATTGGCATTGTCTTTGAAATTTTTATTTTAGAGATTATATAGATGTATGATTTCAGGAAAATGATCTTAGGTCATTTTTGATTGATCTTGAGCCTTAACCATTTCTTTTACAAAATTATATCCTTAGTTATCCGTGATTGAGCCTAACAGAATATAAATTCTTTTCATGACACCCAAAAAAACACCTGAGCCACATAAAAATATATTTAACCTACCTTTGCTATCTAATTTTCTTGCACCCTCTTCTTAATCAGTAGGATACAGACAAGGAGAAGAAAAAGAAATGGTGATTACTGAAAAATCTGTAAAAGAAATTTCAGAGGAAAAAGAAAGAAAGAAAAGAGCCAAGTGTAGACATTAAAAAATTAATAAATAAAAGTCTATAATTGAACTCAAATCAATTAGATAAATAAAATTGGATTGGACCTAAATTCCATAACCTAAATAATACAAGCCCAAATTTAATTAATAAGGCTTGTCAAATTAAATTAAACTGGAACTAAATTTCATATCCTAAATAATACAAGCTCAAATTTAATTAATAAAGT